TTTTTCGTTTTGTTCTGGAACATAATGTGCACTTGAGGTGCGCAGTTTTACCTTTAACCTTTAACCTTTAACCTCAGTGAGTCTGAAATAGTGCCAATATTTCCATCTAGAAAAGGCTGTTTTGCTGCTGAAGTCCTGTTCACTCTTCATCTCTCTCTGTGCTGTAAGCACTAAACACCAACACCCGCCACCGTGAATGTGGAAACACCGGTGAAGCACTGACTTCAGTCCAATCAGATGAACATATACATCATATAAATCAAGTGGACAATTTGTTTGGCTACAGCAAAATATGTTTCATGGCCGCATTGTTTGTTCATACAAAACACAAAACTATGAGTTATGGGTCTTACCTTATAAATGACCTGCACAGTCCACTTCGGTTCAGACCAGTTCCTTGTTTAAATCCAGTGAATGGTTTGAGCGTAGATATGTAATCCTCCATTTGGAAATGAGTCCAATGAGTTTTAAAAAGTAAAACAAAACGCGTGTCTCCTCCGTAAACTCCTCTGTTTTGCTGCAGCCGGCTGCATCCAATTTCTAAAATCAACCGTCTTACACTTCACCTCTTTCTTATCATTCCTATAGTCATTGAAAAATTACCCTAAGTGCATTTTAGATTATCTAAAAATGTGTTATATGTATGTTAGCCAAACCTGTTGCTGTCCTTAGCAGATAAACCAGGAGGAGAAAGGAGCTTATCGATGGAATTGTATGCAGCCTTCTGCGCTCACATGAGCTCCTCTGAGGCCTCACGGTGATACAAGCCGTGGTAGAGTGTGATTAAGACCCATTTGTTTCAAAAACACAATTTATGAGCATCCTCTCAACTGCAGACATGTAGATTGTAAAGGAAATATGTTTTACATCAGCCAATTATTGCTGAGAGGTTTTCTCATCCTTCTCTCATGACAACGCGCACGAGTCCTATCGAAGTAAAAAGAGAAGTTCGTTGTGCGTCTTGAGTAACGCGCAGTAACGTGATGTCGGAAATGATAACGGCATTATAGTTACAGTCCAAGTAATTAGTTAGATTACTCGTTACTGAAAAAAGTAACGCCGTTATTCCCATCACTGGTCCTCTGAGATAACTACTGTTGGGAATTAGGGCTATATAAAAAAACAGGTATTTGAATAATAGGACACACACCAGTAGCTGTGAAAAGTCCATTTAGATTAGTGCGTCCCCTTTAAGTGGTCTCATCATCTGACACCGTAATCCAGGTGAACTGACTACGTTGATGGAATAATTGTTTACTACGAGTACATTCAACTGTATTTTTTTCAAAGCGTAGACCTGAAAAAGGGCACAATACTTAAAAACTCTTACAAAAGTACAAATAAATACAGACAAAGTACGATCCTGGTACGGTATGGAATGGTCTTATGCAAATAAATGTGCTGCAAATGGGACAGTGCACAAACATTAGTGCTCATTTACAGCAGAAGTCTGTTGTAGCCATAATATCCTCTCATTTAAAATAATCAGTACAGAATGTCTGTGCCGACCCCTGGCAAAGGGATTAATATTGAAATAGAACCATTCATAAGTGCAATTTCCCCCGCAGAGTAAGTTCTCTGCTGCAAAAGAGCGCAACATGGAGCTCAGCGTAGAAATGATATCATCAAAGGTCTTTGTTATATATGAGAAGCCTCAAAATCAGATAAACTGGAACAAAAGTCTAATCTTTCAACAAGATTAACAAAGAGAAGACAGAACTAAAGCAGTGTTGAATTTAGAATGGTGAGAATTTCCCCATGTCTAATCTCTCCTCATGAAAAAATAAAATTAAAAAGAAGCAATGATTAATATTGCAACAGGGAGAAGGATGTAGACATGAAAACTGTCATTTAAACACAATAATAGATCAGTGAACATTGATTTAAAGATATCGACCAAAATATAGTAAGATCGTGCTTTTTATTCTGTCGGTGCACACAGAGTACCTTTTTTGCAAATGTATTCCAATGTAGTTTTTATACTGCACATGGCCAATAAATGAATCTGAATCTGAATCTAAAGCATATTATAATGTGCACTGAACAAAAATGTCTGTTCAGATAATTTTACAATATTTACAACAGAATAGAAAACTGCTGGTGCAGGAACAATGATAAGAACCTTTTTATTCTGACATAAAACAATTAGGGCTGATTATAATAAAATAATATTAAATGGAGTAGTTTTATAGCACACAAACACAAGGTTGTGTGTCTTACATTCTAGTTTTAGGGAACAACATGAATTATCAATTTTTTGGTATTGTTTTTCTGTTTATTGGCCACCGGATGCTTTAAAGAGCACTTTCATGTAGACAGACCAAAGTGTATCTATTCATTTAATCCCATAAAGGTCGTGGAACTTGTTTGTGGGTGGACACGCCTTTGTTCTCTGTGGTGTGTATGTGAGAACGTTTTCCCAGACAAAATCACTAAACTATTTTCATAGGCCCTCCTCGGTCATCTGAAATATTAGAGGTAATGAGCTAATTAGTTGAGGCAAAATAATAATAATAGAAAATAATAGTTTAGTGTGACTTAATGAAAGTTTTTTTAGGTTACAATAAAAATACAACTTAAGGGCACTGACCTGAAACTTAGCTTGGACTTACCTGATCTTGACCCGAGACACCCATGTCTTGACAACGCCCATGGAAAGAGACCTTTGAATCTCAGTGGGATTTCCCTGGTTAAATAAATGGCCAAAGACTTACGACTAACACCAAATGTTCCCCGACTGTCACCAGCACATCTTTGGTGCACAAACGTTGACACGCAGGTAACGTCCAAAACTAGCTTTACATCGCAAGTAGTCTGACAATTTACACCAGCGGTGAAATACACGCAAATAACAAGCATCATTACATAACAAGCTGCTATGCTTTCTATTTGTAGCATATCCAGCCCGACTAAAGCCTGAGCATGTGCAGCCCTAACCAGAGTTAAGTAATATCCCACATATTTCATCCCCGGCCCAATATATATTTTACATAACATACAAAATGCTTCCTGTGCCACCTAGTTTTCACGCTGAAAAATCTGTTGTGTCAGGTATACATACAAGTTCTATGAGAGGCATGTTTGGGAATACGTGGCTTTTGACCCAGGACCGTCTCAGCCCGATAACAGGGTGAATGAGGGCCAGATTCAGACGGCCCAGTCAAGTCAAGTCTCTAATACTCGGGAGCATTCATCAATTTGCTTTATTCCTAATTCGTTCCTATGTATGTACCATGGCTTTGATAACATGATCTGCAACCGGCTAATAAACTAGTTTTTTAGATGACTTTCCATCTGTATTGAACTGGAATTGAAAAGATACATTAAATATGCCTATTACCATACTATTATATTATTATACTATACTGTACTATTACTGCTCATGTGTCACAGTATAGTTATTGTCCTTCTTTGTGAGTGAGCCATAGTAACATGCGGCATGAAGAAATCCACACACGTTGTACCATATTTATAAAAATATATTTCACAAAGTAGGAAACAATACAGGGTATCTTAGATTACAGTACAGGGAGTAAATAATTGAACATACACATTTATAAGCATTAAAGCACAGTAGAAAATATGATCTGCATGTAGGACTATCCCATATAGTATATTGTTTAGTCTACCGAGAACTGCCATAATACTGGTATCCATACAAACTGCACGCAGCTGGAGTGCCATTGGACTTCTCGTTATGTGCAAGAGCTAACGTGCAGACAAAACCTACCACCTCATTGAAAGCTAATGACGTTAGCAGTAACTTTATATACAGTAGTCTTTTTCACTAGTATCATACAGAAGTAATGTTAGCACGGTATGCACACGGCCATTCACTGCAAATGTGTGGGTTTTTCCGTGTTTACTGACTCTGCTATTGCACTGGGCTTTAGATGGTCTCTGCCTCATGAAGGGAAAGAATTCATGTCCTGATTAACCGTCATAAGACCATCTAAATAATCGTCATTACTAAGAAGTTTTTGCTTGATTAAATCTAGTCTATTATCAACTGTGATGCGTTTTATGATATGACGTCCGAAGGGTTAAGACAGTTTGCAAAGGGAAAGGCTGAAGGGAAAATCGCTGAACTCGTCTAAGCAACACTCACTTCAAAATTGTCTGCACAGAAAAAGGAAATGATTGAAGAACAGATATACAAAAACTTATATAACATTAATGAAGAATCAACACTTGTCTGGAAAAAAACATTAGATTACAATTGTATTTAATGTTGCTTCTGTAAAAAGAAGGCCTCAAAGTTTCTACATTTCTCTTTTTGTTGTGTTCACACCAGTCTGTTATAGGCTAACGACAATGTACAGCCACACCTGGAGCATGTAAATACAAAGTGTAGTATAAAGCAAGCCTTTCCTGGCTCTTGGACAGTTTTATAAATGTGGCCACCAGAGACATATCAAATGATAAGAAATCCACTTAAAGCCGATACTGCTTTGTCTCTTTTTGCGTCTTTTTCAAATCATACATTCATCATGTAGACAGTATATTGCTTTTCATTGTCATTTTGCCTCAGATCGATCCGTTGGGTGGCCAGGCAAGCTATGCAACGAGATCCTGTCACGCCTTCCATTGTTCAGCTCGGAGTCAGTAAGGTGTCCACTTATGTCTCAAAGAAGCGTGCAAAATCCGGAAAAGTCTCTCCACTGGCAGTCGCAGCAAATGACTAACACCCAAAATACTGCTAGAACACCCGACAAAGGAATCTAAGTTCACAAGAATCATACATCGCCTACTAAAAGACATTGTTTGGTTCCACAATTACAATGCGCTTGACATAGTGGATGACGATTGCTAGACCTCACTCTAAGAATATAAAACAAAAAGTAGCCTCTTGTCTCAATAACTTTTTTTTGTTCTTTTATTAAATTTTTTGCCGTTTCTAGAAGTCTGTAATCCCCCCTAGCATTTAAACACACAAGTATGTGAACAGAAACCATTGAAAAGTGTTTTTTTGTGTTTTGTTTTACTCATGAAATCAAGCGTCAGGTCTCACGGTCGCTTTCCCCAACGGAATACAGCTCTCCAAGTCTTCGAAACCTCGGACCCCACTCCCTCAGATAGTCATAGTTTTGGTCTGAGTCCGACGAGGCTGTTTCCAAAGAGCTTAGCGATCCGGCGATGGACCCTTTGCCTTCGTAACCGTAGATCTGGATGGAGTCGTAAGGCGGCGCCGTGGGGTCATTGTCTGCTTCGTGAAGTCGGACGTTTATGAACTCGTCCACATCAACGCCGTTTGGGCCCGAGTGCTGTCCCGCCCTGGGCATGAACTGCAGGTCTGGTTTGATGTCTTTGCGCGGAAGGTACCCGTTGATTCCGTCCGGGTTTTGCAGAGTGGCTATGTCAAAAGCTTCGGTGTCCTCCTCGCCGCCACCTTCATCGTCGTAGCGGATGATGTTCTCCCTCACATCCTCGTCATCTTTGATTATCAAAGGCTCGTTCTTATGTCTCCTCAGGGTCACAAAAAGCACCACTATTACTGTCAGAGAAAAGACATGGAAAGAGAAGGGGAAAAAGCTCAAGCGTTTTACAGCAATTCAAGTCAATACAAGATACTAAATTCAAAAGCGATGTTAACTCACACTTCCTAGTAAGAATACTCAGAGCTAATTCATTAATGCCTTTTTTCAATTTTATTGTTATGAAAAAGGTTAAAAGAGAAAAAATATAAGACCGCTTTTTCTTTGAAACTATTTTACTTCTAATGTACCACATAACTCAGCAATTCAATGCTTGTAAAATGTATTGAAGGAACTTAGTATATCTCCAATAAAGATTCTATTGAGTCCAGTGCAAATTTAGCCCATGCAACATGCTGTTCAGAATGTGTGTTACATAAACTGCTAGCTTTTGAAGAAAGTTCCACAGTATGGCTTAAAGTTACCAGGATGGGTTACATAAGGTATCTGTTTAGAGGCTATTTAAGTATCTACAATAGATTTATGGTGACCTTGAACATTAGATTAAGGACTAAATCAAAGGATACTCTCTGTGGAATAATGCTACTCACCTAGTAGTAGTGTTATGCAGGCCAGGATGGCGATCAGAGCCCCCATGCTGAGGCCAATGGGCAGAACGTAGGCCTCCACATTGCAGGACTGGACCTCTCCATCTTTGCTGCAGCCACAGACTCTTATGGTTAGCGTGTTGGTGCTGCTCATTGGCGGGTGCCCATTGTCGGTGACGATGATTGGCAAAAAGTACATCTCCTGCTTTTGCCGTCGGAAGGTGTCATGCTTGGCGAGAACGCTGATTGAATTGTCTGTCACGGAGAGAGAAGGGTAAAGATGAGTATTTCAGCTAAGGGGTGTGCAGAAAACAATTGGTATTCAAGGTTGCAGCTAACTGAGGTTCTATTATTCAATCTCACATCAATCGCCTAAACTCCTTTTAGCATTCTCGGTTTTCCGGAGTGCGTGAGTTGAATGGCGGTCTTTCTATTCAACAGTTCAATTTAGGGATTCTGACGGGAGGTGAGCCCAAGTTTGCGGCCCCGTCTTTGAAAGTGTAAAGGGACTGTGGAGGGTGACAGCGGCACATGTCGAGGCAGAGGGGTGCCATATGCTCTTTGATGACACGTCTGTGAGGCTGTCTGCTCATTAGCCAGCTTCTACCATATTATCAAACACACAGGCCCCCTAAGAATACTTCTGCTGATCCTATGGAAAAAATAAAGTACATCTAAAAGTATGACCTTTTCTTGTGTTACTCTGCAGGAGCCGGGTAGAAAAACTAATGTGGCCGTGAGGTGAGGCTGAGTCCGTGTTGACAGAGCCAACTTAATCAAAGGATGGAATGTGTCGTGATGGAATTTCCCAATCTGTAATTAATTTCAACATTTGCTCAGGGTAACTTTATTGATTAATTCTATCACAAAATGGAACAGGTTCTTTTGTGAGAACGTGCAAATACCTCAGTTTACATTGCACACGGATCTGGAACCAAGAGCTGACTTTTGGACCATACTGTAAAGCTGTTTTCGGGACGCCACACAAAATCATTGGGTAATTCTGTTTTCAGGTACACCCCCACCCACTTGGAGTTAGATTGCCTGGACCCGCCCCCACCGATGTAGACTCATAGAGAAATGTTATTGTAAAGACTATACAAATGTATTTTCCTAAGATTTGCATTGTGTGTAGTTGCCAGGCACACTGCTCGAAATGCTGTCAGAAGTGGATATCTTCTTGATTAGACGCAAGGCTCTTCCTCAGTATGAGTGGTCCCCTCACCTTTCTAATGACTAATTCCTCCAATTAAAGTCATCAACACAAACAAACGCAGCAGGCTTGAACTCGCAGGTGCTCGAAGTCTGATCTACCCTGTGTAGTTCTGTATACTGTGTACCCTGTAGACTTTGTGCCTGCCTACATACGTACTCAAGTCTTCAACAATAGCAGAAAATGCAACTTAGAAGATATTTTTGTATCTTTGCTCTTTTTGGTTTTGCAGAATGAGCCCCCCGACAGCATATCTGACTCCCTTTTGCAGTTATTTGCATTCTGATTGAACACAGATTTGACATGGTATTCCCTCAGTGATGCAACTGTGTCGTGATGTTTTGCATGGTACTGACACAAATACTGCACTAGCTTAGTCTGCTGTCGGTACTTCAAGACAACCACAGACAAAGTACTTTGGATAAATACATGTTATATATTTGAACTGTAGTAGACTTGACTTTTTTTTTAACTTCTATTATCCATCCATTGAACTGTACCACACACGTGCAACACAACACCCTACAGCAGATAGAAAGCATATATTTCAGTTTGTACGTCGGAGAGGCTTCTGTTGAGACTGCAGTATATTATGCCTGGAAAAGGGGCTTCTTTTACGCTACACAGGGGCTTTGCTCACACTGCTGAAACATATGTGAGATTTATCAGTTGCATCATCTTAAGAAACTAACAAATCTACTCTCTAAAGAGCGGGGCCCAGAGCCAGTGTGGAGCACAGACTGTGAGCAATTTATCTACCAGCATGAAGTAGGTGTGTAAGTGTAAGTATGAGCACAGGGGTGTTATTTCAGGAAATGACATGTTCCATCTTTGGTTAATGTTTCCTTTTATCACAATCTGTAAGAAAAAAAGATTACAGTTGCAGTGCATTCTTAAAAAAGTCATGTTTAAGTTCTTTGTACATCTCACGTTTTTAAGATTAATTGAGGTTAACAGTTGACGTTGGCTTAGTAATTTCAAGACTCTTACTGACTAAAGAGAATAAACATTAGAGTGATTAATAATAATAATAATAATAATAATGCATTGGTTTTATACAGCGCTTTTTTGGACACTCAAAGACGCTTCACATGCCATTATTCATTCACTCCATACACGAGGGTAATAAACTACTGTAGCCACAGCTGCCCTGGGGCACACTGACTGAAGCGAGGCAACCAGTCTGTGCCATCGGCCCCTCCCACCACCACCAACCATTCACACACACACCAGACTCATTCTAGGCAATGGGGGTGAAGTGTCTTGCCTAAAGACACAACGGCAGTTTGGCACTTTACAGCCGCAGCCGCCCCACTGTGGCACCTGCTGTTCCCAGAGGTTAAGTGTCTTGCCCAAGGACATAACAACATCAGTGGGAGTCGATGGTGAAAGTCTTGAGGTGGGCTCCTACCTACGACCTTCTGGCTTAAAGGCCAATGCTCTACCAATAGTGGATTTCCATTGGCCTTTGGACCTGATGGTCGTGTGTTCGATCCCCCCATGGGACCTACTCCAACTGCTCTCACTCATGTCTGTTGTCGTTGTGTCCTTGGGCCAGACACTTAACCCCACGTTGCCCAAAGCCCCCACTGAAAGACCAAGGCTGTGTCACGGTGACGGAGCAGCAGCCATCTTCCTGTGGACTCACCACCTGCAGAGGATCAGAGGGACTGGTGCTATGAGCATTGGGTGCAGCTCTGATTGTCACTCCCCGACCCAGAAATTGACTTATAAAAGGGTAGAAAATGAATGATTGGTCTTTTTCAGGACTCCCTTGAAAAAGAGGTTCTTAATCTTAATGGATAGATAACTTTATTCATTTGCAGATTCAAGGTCCAGATCAACACAGACACAGACAATAGAAATAAATAAAAATAAAATAAACAACCTCTAAACTTTCAAGAAGCAATCATACCAATGTTCCCAAATCATTGGGACTTTCCTGCTTAAATAAAAGTAAAAAAATTAATAAAAATGAATATGAACGGATTTAATGAAATTAGATTTATCAAGCATAGTGCTATAATAGCCTGTGATAGGAACCTGAAAGCCACGAATATCCAGATTCTCCTGCTATATACTTTATCATTCCTGAGAATTAGCTTACTGAAATCTTTCTGTACACAACATTTACAATTATACAACAAAAAGTTACACTTTTATTCACAATTCTTTCATAAACTTTTGATTTATTTGATAAATTCAGACATTGCTAAATAAAAAAATTATATTTGATAGTTTCAGAACATATTTTACTGTCTGAAAGATAAAAACCTGTTTCCAAATTGGAGCTGTTTCCATCCAGATTTGTACATTCACAGATTTCTTTCAAACTTATGTCTCTGTCAAAGTAGTTGCAGCAAGTTAGCCCGAAGCCAGTGCACCAAAACAGACGGCTCGAACCATATGAAGAGTTTTATCGCCCCGAGCCCAACACATTATACAACGTCATCACAGTCTGTTCAGTGCCTGTTACTGAGCGGAGACTAGAGACGTGCATTGGAATTAAGACTGAGGGGGTGGGGGGGACTGCAAATAAACCAATCAGAGTATTTAGCAAATAAATTTAGCACCATCTGCCATGCTTGCAACGGATTCTGGGAACGTCACCCTACATTGAGCTGCAAGAGTAGCACGGAGAGCCCATTTGGATCCCATTCATTTAGTTTCCCTCAAAAGGCACTGGGGAGTAAAAAAAAGGTAGTTGTGTCCAAACCATTTCACATCTGTTAATTGCAAGAAACACTGATCCAACAGACTTCAAGCCGAGGACGGGTAGCGCGCCGCAGGTTAGAGATTGGAGTGGAAAGCCATTGGAGAAATTTGGAGAGACTTCAGTCATTCCAACACAGACAGCTTTTGTGTGTCAGTGGAAATACTGCGTTTGTTGTGTTGAGGTGGCGACAGTTGTTTCAAGTTGTTGAGTTTTAAATACTTCTGAATTCAACTTTTGTCGGAAATGTTTTTTTCTTCAGATAGACTTACTTATTTGCACTATAATACAATGGTTAATGACGTATCATTAAGCCTGTACTAATGCAGTATTAATTAAGGAAACATTCAGTGTAAAAATAACCAAAGATAATCATTATCCACATGCAGCTTCACATGCGACCACCAGAGGGAGGAGTAGATTTTTTTTTGTATTTTTCTCAAATTAGAAAATCACCGGTTGCACCAACATTACCCCTATGACTATGACATTTCCAAAACTAATAATGGGCCAATACTTAAAGAGGTTAGCCCAATAAACTGAAAAATGTTAAATGTTTTAACTAAAGTTTTATCTAGTTTTATTATATCAATGTGGATGGATTTATAAACTACTCCAGGTCTGTACTTGAGAATGTTGTAAATATCACACACTGATATTCCAACTTTTCTGTGTGTGTGTTTTCTTTGTATTACCTTGGTTATTTTTGATAGTGAAATTGGGATTGTTGAGCATTTCGGGAACAAGTCGGTAGTCAAAGTAGTGGCCTTGGATGGGATCATCTTTGTCGACCGCGCTGAGGGTCTGGATCACCTGTATCGAGAACAGACAAGACACAAATATAAGCCGACACATTGGGCCAAGGCATGTCTAATGACTTTGCTTTTGCCACCGTGAATATTCGTCTCGCTGCTAGCCACACACCTGATGAAATGCACGGCCTATTCATTCTGCAGAGTTGAGATTATTGCTCTCCTGTCTACTTTGGCACACTTTCAGCCTGATATACAATCCGTTCATCAGTCACCCGGGGTCTTTTCGCGCCTATACGATTGATTAGAAATTAGAATTCAACCCTGCGGGACACTGTTTTTGCGACATTTTCTTTTCAATGAAGTCCCCGGTTGTACACACTTAGCTTTGAATGATGTCGATTGATGACAAGAGCGAAAATGCTAAGTACTTGTCCAGGATTTTTGGCTAGGGGGAAAAGCGTTGTGCCATCTGGAGGAGGACATGAAAGACGGACTTGAATTATGAAGCACTCTGATCAATCGTGACTGCGTTGTTTTCCCCGGCTGCGATACGTGTCAAGGGAAAGCTGTAGAAGGGAAGAAAGGGGGCCGAGCACTATGGCTGTGCCCATGCGGAGTCCCAGTGATATAAAGAGGCTATAATTCATGGAAGGAAATCATTACTAAGGCGGGGTGAGGTAGAGAGAAAGTGACGCATGGTCACTTTGATGGATAGGCCGTTCTTTACCTGTCCGGGTTTTCCGTTTTCGCACAGGAAGGCTTCGTATTCTGTGGCGAATTCGGGAGCGTTGTCGTTGATGTCCATGACTCTGATGGCCACAATTGCTCTGGAGATCTGACTGTGGTTTTCTATTAAAAGAGAAAGAAGATACAAGTGGTTAGAATACTGCATACAATCTTTACACCCGAGTTAGGGCTATTTCTTTGTACTATTTGTATGAGTGGAAATTGACAGTGGTTCTTATTGTTAACAATGGATAAAATCTTTAAATGTTAAAAGCATTTTATTTTATTTTTAAATTTCAGTTGCATTAGTTGAAGGAATTTCCAGGGATAACACAAAGGAGCATTTACATGTTATATGCAGTACTCATATCGGTATTCGGTATTGGAAAGTACTGACATTAAGGTATTGTGCTGAATAACATAAAACCATTTAAAAGTCCAAGGTAAATCTTTAGCCTGCTCTAAAGAAAATATCAACGTTGGCACACATATGATCTCATGATGAAGACTCTATTTACAAGGAGCACAATGATAGAAGGAAGCTTCACCGACTTTCAGATTCAGATTCAGTAGTAAAGTGTCAGTGAAAACACATATATGCATATACCAGCAAAAGTCCCCAGTGTACACAAGACAAGTACATAATTAAAAATATGTTAGATGTTAAACGTTCAGGTTAAAAGTATAGAAATAAAACAAACAAAACAGGAAACAATTGTCACTCTTAAATTGATCAACTAAAACAGTCCAAACTTGGTCCACACCAACTGTGTGTGAGTTGCTTTTTGTGCTTCGTGAATACATTGAATTAATTGTAAATATATGACGGAGCCTGACAGTGAAAGCAGAGTTTTTAGAGCATTTAGATTTTTATGTCAAATCAAGATTGAGTTTGGAGCCAATAGAGATTCCTCAGTACCTGAATATGAGTACAAAAAAAATCTAATTTAGTGCAAATCAGTGTAATATCCCATTCATAATGCTAATGTTTCTTTAGATCCGTCATCACACACAGTACCATCTACCATTTCTAACCAAACAACACTCAGACACTAGTTTGAAATGTCACTTCTTTTATCTTTGAGTAACGTGATTTGCGCGTTTGCAGATAACTTGTAATCCAACTTTCATTTTCCGTTCTTCCCTGTTCATGTAACTAAAGGCTTTCCCGATAAGCCACATCAAACCAACTAAACTCCAGCGTCAATGTCAATGATGCAAACAGGGTTCTGAGCGACAGAGGGAGACAACCCCATCCAGAGTGCTTTCGAAATCCTCTATACGCTGTCATCTTTTAAACATGAGAATTAAAGCATGCATATTAATGAGGCATTGGTAACTGAAGTTTTTAAAAGACAATAAAGGGCCATCTAATTAGACGTGGCTTTTCTGGAATTAATCATCGCTGGTAATTGACAGTCCCTTCCGAGAGTCACGCTCGTATTTATGAATCAGTGGCTTAAATGGCAACTTTTAAAGCAATTAGGAGTTAATACATCCCTCTGTGGGCACGCACACTCTGGTCACTTAGGCTGCCTCTTTTTGTTTCACAGAAATCACGTTATTAATGGGTATACATTTTGGTAAACTGATTTATGCAGTATAAAAACAATCAAGATGTTGAGTCAAAAAAATCACAAGACTCAAGTTCAAATCCCGCCTCAAAATCTGCCTGTTTGAGCCTCCTCCATTGATCTCACGGTGTTTTGTTTGTTTAACTATACTACTGTTTTGAATTGTGATTTATGAATAGATCTGAATAGTGGCCCTGACAAATAAAAATTAACCATATTGATTTCATGAATTATAGAAAATGCCTTTCTGACAGTATATAACTCAATTCACTTCTCAAATTGTAAACATGGGAAGTAGCCAAGCTGTAATGTCAGTCAGCCTACAAGACCAAGAAATAACATGTAAATCAAATGTTGCTTTTTCCATGCATTAAATGAATTCCAAATTAATACGTAATTTAATATAAAGGGAACGGAATTAATTCACTAAAAATATTCAAAGCGTTGCAACTTGATAATGGCATTCCACTGCTGTAGTGGCTTTTTCTGCCTTAAAACAAAGAAACTCCTGAATACTTAGCAGTCCGAATTGAACTGACGTGAATTGCCTGCCACTTTGCATTCAGGCTTATATATTCCCCTGCTCTTACGCTCTAGTTTTCGAACACACGCGGCTGATAAGGACGTGCCCTGTAGGGACAAAGGGCCCGCTGCTGCTGCCGGAGACAGGTTGAAGGAGGGGTAAGCAGTGAGGAGAGGGGAAATTGACAGAGTGAAAGACAGTGATGGATGGATTAGGACGTGTGAAGAAAGGCTGGGTCTGACTATAGTTACAAGACTGCCTCTCCCCTAGCCGCAACAGCAGCAGCAGACAGGCAATGGAATCTGATTAGTCAGATGTCAACCGGTACGCTGAAAAAACAGGTTTCCATTTGGGCGGCAAATGGCATCCCGGCTCCAAAACTGGGAGCACATCTTTTCCTTTTCACGCTGCAAAAATCCCCAATCCGTGAAGAAAACTGCCATATTTACTTTGGCAAATTCCTATTAGGTGTTGCCACTATCTCCAACCACAGTTACTTTGCCAGCAGGCATGAAAACACGCTTAAAATATACAAGGCCTGAGACATGCACATGGCTTATCAAATGAGACACATTCAATTCTACCCCCAAAAACAGGCTACAGTGGCGGCGGCGCGGCGGCAGATATGTCTGGGTTAGCGCAGGCAAAATATTCTGACAATGTTTTATTTGTTGACAATTAATGTGTTCGTTCTGATTACGGATATAAAAAGACAGGCAGGGAAGATGAAGCGCGTATAGCGAGGCGCGGTGGAAAAGTTACAAGCCGTGTAAATTTCCCATTTCAATAGCTTGAAGGGTACATTAAGTTTTATCACAACATACAGCCCCCTTCAAACAATCTGTATGCAAATAGTGCCTTTACGCACGGTCCTGAGCTGTTTTGTAGCTCTGGCGGCAGGATTTTCCAACCTAGTCAGTGGGTTTTGCGCTCCGCAGATGTTCTTTAATCTGTAATGGATGCTGGCACAGGAGTAATCCACTCCACCGATGTCTTTAAAACTGTTTATTTGATATGTCTTAATGTTCTTGCTCTTTCACAAATTGACTCGCGGGCTGCTTAATTCAATCAAAACTCAAGCAAATTAACAGGCTTAATGCCTCAGCGCCTCCGAATGCTAATTGTTTGTGCCGTATAGTGGGAAAGTGCATGAAAGCGGGCCAATAACGGAGTATGTAGAGCAGGTCATTTGCTACAGTGACTACTTTGTCGAGCATGGCTTATTGGGTTATTCAAAACTTATGTGGCGACAAAGGAGCGGCGATGTCCAGGGTGTGGTTGAAGGTTGGTGTGGGAGGTACTTACTGACTTCGGTTGCAGTGACTGTGATGTTGTGCCACATATCGGTTTCACGGTCCAAAGGTTTGGCCAGCGTGATCTTTCCATCGTCTACGTTGATGTTGAACTGGCGCTCCAGGTCTGTGTGTCGGTCGATGAAGTATCTACAACCAAACAGGAACAACATTTTAAAAGGGCTGAGCTTACTGAATTAGAAAAATACTAGCTTTGGTAGCCAGGTAGTGAAAGGATATGGTCAAAACCGACACTATTATACTATGAACTAACTCCAGATAAAAGTATTCGCAATTTCAGTAATCATTTCATTTCATTTCATTTCATTTACATCCCTTTATTTTCCATTTCTGGGTCAGGGGGGTGGCAATCAGAACTGCCACCCAATTCACACAGCACCAGTCCCTTGCTGATCTTCCTGCAGGTGGTGGGTCCACGGGAAGATGCTCCTTCGACACAGATGCAGCCTTGGTCTTTCAGCGGGGACTTCAGGCACATTGGGGTTAAGTGTCTTGCCCAGGGACACAACGACAGCAGACATCAGTGGGAGCAGTTGACATGGGTCGTAGTGGGATTGAACCCACAACCATTAGGTCCAAAGACCATTGCTCTACCAACTGAGCTACTGTCGCCCCAGTAATCTGTTCTACAAATATTGTTGAGATGGGGAAGCAATGCCTCTAGTTTAGTACCATGAATGTATTTTATATATAACTTCCAACAACAAAAACATTGGAGCTATGTCATAATCCATGTATGATTGTAAATGGCTCAAAATCTGTTTAGTTTTATCCATGTTTTAAGACAGAATAGTGAAAAAGAGAAGACCTCCCCCACTCACTCAGAGAGAGGATGGTCTCGAGCTGAGAGCTACGGGTCCTGACAACATTTTACTATTACGACATTCTTTTTTTGTGGACAAACTGAATGTTATTTATGAAACAACAAAGTTCCCCAGTGTTACAGCATTCTTCAAAGCGTTTTTGAACAAAACATAGTTGATTGAACACGGCCACAAGTCAACAATGTCTTAATGTTTGCATACACGAGCAGCACAGGTTTCTCTGTAAAGAAACAGACGGGCAGCACGGTGGCTGAGTGGATAGCACTCTCGCCTCTCAGCAAGAAGGTCCTGGGTTCGAATCCCGGTCGGACCAGGGCCTTTCTGAGTGGAGTTTGCATGTTCTCCCCGTGTCTGCGTAGGTTTCCTCCGGGTACTCCGGTTTCCCCTACCACTAAAAATATGTACAATAGTTCTAGCATGCGCCTCCTGTACTGGCCCCGCTCCCATCTCTGTGTGGAGTGAGAGACAAATGCCACAAAATTAACAATTGTAAACCGCTTTGAGACTCAGATCTGCAGTGAAAAGGCGGTATATAAATAAAGATTACTTACTTACTTACTAAAAGATGTGTTTTTGTCAGCCAGAAAAATACGTTTGAAACTTCACTTTCTAAGCATAGTTAATGATTCTGTTGAAGAGTAACAAACCTCCCCACTGTTTGTAAATGTCAGCGCACACTTTCACTTGTCTTCTCAACAAGCCGCTAGCTATTTTGTTTACCCGTGTGCAATTTATCAAGAGACGGCTTTAGATTAATGCACATTTAAGACTGCCTGAGGAATAATTAAGGGCCTCACCTGAGCAGCAGGGGGTATTAAAGTGTAATAAGTAGTAAAAAAAGGCCTATCCTGACCACAGCGACACGTCCCTCCCCAGCGCTAAAACAACATTAGTATAAGGATGTCAAGGTAAGGGATGGGCCGCCGTTAACCCCGTTTGGATCTGTCAACATGCAATGGCTCCCACAGGGTTTGCATTAATGAGTTGGGACAACAGGCTACGACAACAGAGGCAGCAGGGCTAATGGATGAGACAAACATGGACCACTGGCCGGCGTGTTGGTCCTAACCTTGTCTTTTCGGTTGTGTACACCTCAAGACAGTATGACCAATTTAAGCCTGTTCAGCAAGTGACACTCGCAGGTTGTATGTTGTCTTCCAATAGATGCATGTGTATTACCATAATTCTGTCAATAGTTCCTTAATGTGCTGCTTCCACCACTATTCACACTTCATATAGCAGAACTTAAACAGGATCAATAACTGTATGTATAAATAGAAAAGCAAATTAGCAGTAGAGGGAATCAGATTAACATTTGTGTGTTGGATCAAGTCTGTGGTAACATCTTCTCTATTAGAATAAATATAGATGTTTTATCAGTGTAATGTAATAGAAAGGACCATCAATACAAGTAAGGCCTCTAATGATAGTCCGTCTGTGGCAGTGGTCTGAAATTGAATTTATCTGGGGACTATAGAGGACAAATATGGGTGAAGCCGGGCAGCACACAGGGTATATTAATCATGCTAAACTGCACATGCAAAGCACACTCACAAATCCTTAATAACTGTACTATAAAGGACCATCTTATATATAGACTGTGTGCAAAAATACAAATGCAACTCTAGTAAGTGATTTAAATAGTGCATTTTACAGACTAAGGTCACCCAAAGCGCTTTACAATGTTCAGAGTTTGTTTCATTCACTCCACACACGGTAATGACGGAAGCAAGACGCCAAACACACTGGACCATCAAAGCCCCCAATCAACACCATCCACTTACTCTCTAACTCACATTCTATTGTGCAAGTTTTTAGTGGTATGGGAAACCGGAGCACCCGGAGCAAACCTACGCAGACACGGCGAGAACTTGTAAACTCCACTCAGAAAGGCCCTGTTCCGACCAGGATTCAAATCCAGGACCTTCTTGCTGAGAACCGAGAGTGCTAACCACTCAGCCACCGTGTCGCCCATTCAAGGCTCAAAACCATCTAAGAACTGCCGCAGTCAGTTTCAATGAACACTTATTATTTGCTGTGACAGTCCATCCAACCTCAAATGTGTCGCATATCCAGATGTTGTTTGACAGCTTCAATTCTGCAGCTGTGCCTTAAGCCTTGAAGCCTTGAGCCCCCCCCAAAAAGCCATACTTTATAGGGGGTCTGTATGAATGCTGGTCCACTCCTTTTCAATGACGTTACCCCTGGACCCCTACGCTCCCACGAACAACGACCTCTTTTGCAAAATAACATGTTTTAAGCATCAAAAGACGGCATTAACTGATATTTCTAGCAACAATCTTTCATAAAAAACCTCTGTGGCAGAACTTAAATCCGCAGAAAGGACACCCGCAGACTTTAAATTGGAATAGACATAAAAGAGAATTTTTCTGATGCCACTCAGAGCTGTGAAATTACCCTTTCATGTGGCAACGTGCTCCGTGCCAAGTCTCGGGACAAGCCCACACGAAGCAGACTCCAAAAGATGCTGTCAGTGTGGGTCATCTTTGCTTTTAAAACACATCTGTCACAAACATCCTCCACGGCCCCAAACCCCAGACGCTATCATTTTGACAGGGAATTGTTGCATTGTTTAGCTGTAAACTGTTCGAGTTCTTTGCTTCCTGACTGACAATCACCACCCTTTATTTCAGTTTTGCAGTAAAAAGAAAATAATTTAAAAAAGTCTAAAAGATATCCCCATTTTAACCTCTCCATGTCCATTTTCTTGCCCATCCTTCCAACTGCCTCCGGCGCCACCAATGGAATATTTTTCTCCCTTTTCAACTCAAGGTCTCAAACGTTTCTGTTGTTGGAAAGAGCCTGCTGATATTTAAATGAGGCAAAGAAAAAACATTTTAGTTGACTACACACACAACATTGGGTTTCATCATTTGTGTAAAAACAAATCCATAAAGAAGGAACTCTGGTGTGTGTCGTCTGGTGCACACCGGGGTAGTCTTGCACAGTTTTTCCAATGTGGTTTTACTGCAAATGGCAAATAAATGAATCTGAATCTGATGTGAATGTTGGAGCCATTCTTGATGTGAATGGCTCCATGGAGTAAAACGTATCGATCACATCATAACCTTGCAATACTTTTCGTACTTTTACCAGCTTCGGCCCTTAAGGCTCAGACTACCAGAACTCTGAAAGTACTGTAACTCCTAGAGCCGTCATTTTGATTGCTCCCATTCAAACCAATGGAATTCTGAGAAATTCCCTGGAATAATGTCTAGTTTTTCACCAGATCCATTAAAATAAAGTAATTTATATGAATGAATGAATGAATATGTTTTTATTATTGTGTCTTACATACACACTGTATGCCCAGCCCTAATGGGCTTATAAGACACCAGTAACACCAACAAAAGCACCAGATGCCAGACAATAGGCACACTATACAATACATAAACTTATTTAAACAAACAAGTCTGCCGCCTCAACCAGGCTTTACAAACAAAAGAAGCCAGTTTAAACACATTAGAAGTAAACAACCATTTCATCTTGTCGTCATCACTGATCCAGAACATTTCAGGCTTTTGAACAAACAATTCACCAAACAATACATTTCTAAGATCATCGTACTGTGGACAATATAACACAAAATGAGTTTCACTTTCAATCTCTCCTAACTCACACAGTCTACAGAGTCTGTCCTCTTCAGGAGCTTGAGTGAACCTGCCAGTTTCTATGGCCAGGGGAAGGATGCCAGTTCGCAGCTGAGCCATCAAAGATCTTTGGTTCCTTGTCAGGTTTGCCTTTACATACAACTCAGTTTCAAATACATCTTTAATTTGTAAGTAAGTCCTTAGCTTTGGCTTTGCCATGATCCCAGTCAACCATTTGTGTTCAAAGTTTGACATTAAAATTGATTTGATGGTTTTAACACTACAGGACAAATTATTCTGGAACACATACTGGAGTTGTGCATCAGCAAAGACAGTCCGGAGCTCTCCAGCCCAAGGACACTTATTTTTACTCCATAGAAAGACTTTTTTTGTTACTCTATTTTCAGACAGGTTAATGAGTCGATTCCACAGTCTCACCATTTCACATTTCCTTTGGATTGATCCAGGAACCCAGCCCATATCGCCCTGCGCTGCCAGCACGGGGACAAACTTATGAACTCCCAAGAAGCAGCGGATTGCACGGTTTTCTACAGCGTCTAAGGCTGGGCTCTGCACGGCCCCCCACACACCAGCAGCATAGTTTAGCACAGGCGACACACAGGCGGCATACAACTGAGAGAATGTTCCATAACCAAGATCTTTACAGACTTTTAACTTGTTTATCACAGAACCC